CACGATCGACACTTCACACTCGACAAAATAGAAAAAACACATGCGACACACAAACGACGACTTGACATGCGAGTTGTAAAAACTTGCTAATGTCTTGACCGACACAAACCACATTGTGATACACCATTCAAACACACACACAAGCACTGGATAGCAATGACATAGACTCACAATTCATTCCATGCCATGCATGCACACACACAAACAAGGACGACAAGCCGAGTGCAAGCCATAGGGTTGCACCAACAGTTGGGACCTTTGGGGGTTTGGGAAATTTGTCACTCACTGTAACAGCTGCAAATTGGTTGGGAACAACCAAGCTAGGTTGGCAAGGGTGGCCAACTTGGATGGATTGGTTGGGAAGGGACAAATGTCAAAGTTGGGGTTCCTATAGGGAGGGAATCTTTGTGCTTATGGGGTTTCCTTGGTTGGGGACTCTCTTGGGACCTTCCCTCTCATCCCTCTCTTCCTATCCCAACCTTTCTCTTGCTCCTTCTAATTCCTTGTGAGATTCTTGAACTTTGATTGAACCTTTGAGATTGAGTTAAGTTCTCCTCCTACAGCTTACCCCCTAGTGCGTCGAAAGCCATAGCGTCGCGAATACTTTATCAATCAACATGATTCAAATTGGGAACGGTAGCTGAGATTAAGAGCTACAACATATCCAAGTTTCGCGACATTCCAACGGCTAGTTGTTTGTCGACGTCGTTTCTTGTGAAGACGACTTTTCTGTCCAGAATTTCGGATTTATATTTTGAGTAATTCTAGCTCCTAAGTTCACCTAGACTCCGTCCTTAATCCTAACAAGGCTAAACTCCGTTCTACATCCTAGTCTACTTAGACGACCTGGTCTTCGCTACTGCAGACAGAGACCCACTGGCCTCGGTGAAGGGTGGGCTGCTGAGGAGACACACCTGCACTGACCTAGGAGAGTTGCGTCGCTACCTTAGGCTGCAGATCTCCAGGGACAGAGCAGCGCGCACCATCAGTCTTACACAATCACACTTGGTGCGCCAGGTCCTTCTGAGATTCGGCCTTCAGTTCTCCTCTACACAGCCCACCCCTGTGCCAGTGGATCACAGGCTCTCGGCTTCAGCCCCCGATGAGCCGGTCGAGCCTAGTGGTCAGTACCCGTGGGCTGCCTCATGTACCTGATGACTTGCACTCGTCCAAATCTCGCATACCCTTTTAGTATCCTCGCTCACTTTGTTACGACATGCAGACACCGGCTCGAGCATTGGTCGGCTGCTAAGAGGGTGTTGCGATATCTAGCAAATACATCGGGCATGAGGCTAGTGTTGGGAGGACGCAGACCAGTGGTTCTGACAGGGCACACTGACACTTCATGGGCGGAGGACGCTGAGATGCTCAGGTCCTCCCAGGGCTACTGGTTTAGCCTTGGTGCGGGCGCCATCTTGTGGAGGTCCACCCCATCGTTGTCCGTTGCCCAGTCTAGCTCTGAGGCTAAGATTTACGCTGGTGCCATGGTGGCACAGGAGCTCCACTGGCTGACGTTCTTGGTCACTGACTTACGTAAGCGACCTAGCTCTGCACCGGTCTTGTACGCTGACAACATGGCCATGATCCTCCTGTGTTAAGAGCCTCGACTAGAGGGCAGAGCGAAGCACATACAGCTACGGTACTTCCTCCTGCGCGAGCTGCACCGGCGCCACCAGGCAGGTGTATTACATTTGGCCTCCGGTGCCACCACAACTAAGGTGCTGCCAGGCCACTGTATATCTTTACTAAAGCGCTTGCGCATAAAGATCATCAGCGGCACCGCGTACAGCTTGGTCTAGTTCAGGCCCATATTCATCAGGCTTTTAATGCTAGTTTTGCTTTCTTTTTTTTCAGCGTGTTCTCTTGTACTGACCCTGATGAATCAGCCTTGAAAACGAAAGAACCAGGGCCAACCAGTAAGAAAATTGCTACCAAAAACTGATTTTCAGGGTGTTTTTTAAGATTGACCTTTCAGGGCCTGGTCTAGTCGCAATAGCTCCTCACTTGCTAGGACCCTGATTGTGTACTACTCATTATATTATCTTGACTAGCCTTGTGGCTCGTCTCAGTGGCAGCCATGAGTTACTCTTGTTTAGTTTGTACTCTTGCTGACTGGTCTTCGTTCGGACCCCTGTCCAGAGGTTGGACTAGTAGTGCCGCCCTGAGCTATGTGTCTCTTGCTAGGCAATGCCCTTTATCTAGCCTAGGGGGTGTGTCAACTTATACATAAGCTTATATATAGAAGTTGTAGGCTACATGGGTTTGTGTTCTTAAGAAGGTACAACTCCAACCATATATGTTCCTTGTACTGTGTTGCTTCGCTACCCTGAGAGCTCATACCGTAATCCCCCGTATATAACACCCTATGGTGGATATGAAAATTCACTAAAAAAATGAGTGGGTGTTAACAGTGGCCCGGAAAAACATAACGCCCATGTGTTATGTAAAATGCAAAATGAATTCGAGTGTTTCATGCCCTTTTTGTCCATAAGGTTGCGGAGCAGCTGGTAACGAGGAAAAACAATTTGATTTTCCTGTCTTCCCACAATATCGTAAGAGCGTGTCCAGCGCGTTCGTTTACAATTCACTTTATACGGTTCAATGTGGTTTGCAGAGGTCCAACGTTGTGAAGCGCGAAAAACGTCGCGATATATCCTACTGAACCGTGATTCGTGTACTAAAAAACGTACGCGCTGGACACGCCCTAACCCCCTGGCCCAACGGTTTCAGTTCCCCCCGACAATTTCGTTTCCCCCTTCACCGACAATTTCGATTCCCCTTCACCGACAATCGAATCCCCCTTCCCCTGAAAATCTTGAATCCCCCTTTCCCCCACATTCTCGATTCCCCCTTCCCCCCACATTTTCGATTCCCCCTTCCCCCACAATTCGATTTCTCCTTCCCCTCAATTCGATTCCCAACATTCCAATTCTGCCCGGTTTTCCGGTGCTAATGGTGGTTGACGCACGATTTCATCATGCTCGTTTTTTTGCAGCTGAGCGGACCTTGTAATACCGTAATCCCCCGGATATAACACCCTATGGTGGATATGAAAATTCACTAAAAAAAATGAGTGGGTGTTATCAATGGCCCGGAAAAATATAACGCCCATGTGTTATGTAAAATGCAAAATGAATTCGAGTGTTCCATGCCCTATTTGCCCATAAGGGTGCGGAGCAGCTGCTAACGAGGAAAAACAATTTGATTTTTCTGTCTCCCCCACAATATCGTAACCCCCTGACCCAACGGTTTCAGTCCCCCCGAGAATTTCGTTTCCCCCTTTACCGACAATTTCGATTCCCCCTTCACCGACAATTTCGAATCCCCCTCCCCCTGAAAGTTTCGAATCCCCCTTCCCCCCACATTTTTGATTCCCCCTTCCCCCCACGTTTTCGATTCCCCCTTCCCCCACAATTCAATTCCTCCTTCCCCTCAATTCGATTCCCAACAATTCAATTCTGCCCGGTTTTTCCGGTGCTAATGGTTGTTGACGCACGATTTCATTATGCTCGCTTTTTGCAACTGAGCGGACCTTGTAATACAAGAACAAATTCAGTTTTCAAACGAATAAAACGAGGGTGGTGTTATGTAAAATTCGTCACCTGAAAAGCGGGTACTCTAAAAAAATGCACCATATCATAAGCTCCCCCCCGTATTAACCACCCATGGAGTGACTATTCCGGCGGGTGTTATATGCGGGGGATTACGGTACAAGAACAAATTCAGTTTTAAAACGAATAAAACGAGGAGGGTGTTATGTAAAATTCAATGCCAGAAAAACGGGTGCTCTAAAAAATGCACCGTATCATAAGCTCCCCCCCGTATTAACCACCCACGGAGTGACTATTTCGGCGGGTGTTATACACGGGGGATTACGTGTTAAAGTCTGAACTAGGAAGAACAGAGGAGGCCGCCATGAAATGGCGGCCAAGGGTTTAGCTAGAAGCTGGACGAGAGTGTCGAGAGAGAAGAAGTGGTAGACTAGAAGAGAATGAAGTACAAGAAGGGGGTTGTCCCCCCTACAGTAGGATGCAGTTAGTAGCATAACTACCAAGCCTACAATTATATAAAAATATAATTTGAACACACCCCCTAGGCTTGGTAGTGGCAAACCCACACAACCCACACACACACCCCCTAACCCCGGACACCCTCATTCTCGTGAGCAGCCGGGTATCGACCCCTCGTGCTAGGCTATGACACCCCTGGTCGAGAGGCAGCTGGCCGCATCTGGGCGGCCTCAATGACGACAGCGGCGGAGCTCGTGCTCAAGGCGGCTGTGTCGATGAGGACAGGCGGCGACTGCGGCGGCTGAGGGCTCTCGGCGGTGTGGCACGGGCTGGCGACGACCGAGCCGAAGACAGCAGCTACGGCAGGAGCAGGAGGAGATGCAGGGGAGGGAGAGGTGGTGGGCTGCTGTGGTGGGGCTGCAGGACTTCAGCGCGGCGCCATAGGCGCGGCGCTTACTGGAGGGAGGAGCAGGCGGGACGGGGCCCAGGAGGGGCGCGACTGGGCTAGGAGGCACGGCAGGGCCCAGGAGGGGCGCGACTGGGCTAGGAGGCACGGCAGGGCCCAGGAGGGGCGAGACGTGGGTAGGAGGCACGGCAGGGCCCAGGAGGGGCGCGACGGGGAGGTGGAACGGCGGAGCCGCCACGTCAGGGCGGCAAGCCCAGCACGGCTGCTCAACGTGGCAGCCATGCGACATGGCCGCCATGCGACATGGCCGCCACGGCGGCACGGCAGGAGCGACGAACGCACGAGAACGCAGCGGAAAGCACGGAGGGGAGCAGGCCCAGGAAGGGCATCCCGCTCTCGATACCATGTTAAAGTCTGAACTAGGAAGAACAGAGGAGGCCGCCATGAAATGGCGGCCAAGGGTTTAGCTAGAAGCTGGACGAGAGTGTCGAGAGAGAAGAAGTGGTAGACTAGAAGAGAATGAAGTACAAGAAGGGGGTTGTCCCCCCTACAGTAGGATGCAGTTAGTAGCATAACTACCAAGCCTACAATTATATAAAAATATAATTTGAACATTACGGTACTAAAAACACTGCTGCTCATGTTTAGACCAAATCAAACCACAGTGCCAGTAGTAGTCTTAGAACACACTACCCTAGGGGTATGTACAAACGCATTGGGCATCTGCACTTGTACTAGGAATATGTACAGCATGACCTGCATAATGCAAGGCCCTAGGGCTTTCTGAAGTCCTGCATGGCTGCACGAGCGGTGGCAGCTACAGTAGCGACAGACGCATGCGGGAGATAGAAATACTTCCCTGTTTGCCACAAGAAAGGAATCAAGGGAAGATCGAACATATAAGATGCATGGAATGTAGCCTTCAGCATGCACTCTGTGATGCCTCACAGAAGAGAGGGTGATGCATGCTCACTTCTAGAGTGCACACACATCCAAAGTGCACTCACCTCTAGAGTGCACTCACCTCCAGAGTGCACTCATGTCTGGAGTGCACTCACTTCTACAGTGCACTCACCTCTGGAGTGCACGCACCTCCAAAGTGGGCTCACCTAGAGAGTGCGTTCACCTATAGAGTGCGCTCACCTAAAGAGTGCGCCCACCTGTAGAGTGCACTCACCTGTAGAGTGCACTCACCTGTAGAGTGCACTCACCTGTAGAGTGCACTCACCTGTAGAGTGCACTCACCTGTAGAGTGCACTCACCTGTAGAGTGCACTCACCTGCAGAGTGCGCTCAGCAAGAGAGTGTGCTCACCTCGAGAGTGTTTTGCAATCTCTTTTGCGAAGCCAGATGAAACAAACTTGTTCTCCGTGTCAATCACCAGCAGCTGCATGCCTGCCGCCCCCATGCGGGCTGCTATGCTCAACACCTCCTCCTGAGAGCACATGTCAGAATACAACCACTTGAGTGAAAGGCGTGGGAGCACAGCACAGGAGGGAAACCGGGGGGGGTGAAGGGGTGCAAGGAGGGGTAGCTGTGACGGAATGAGCCCCCGTTGCCCGCGCCGGAGAACAAGGAGAAGAGAAGAGAGGCGAGAGGAGAGGAGAGGAGAGGTGAGGAGAGGAGAGGAGGGGAAAGACGTAGACAGCAGAGATAACCACGCAGAAGCTCGCCTTGATATCTTCCAGCCTAGGAGGAAGCTTCTCCTCCTCCCCTACGCCCTCCCCCCCCTCCCTGCTCCCACCACTGCTCCCGCCACCCCGCCCTGTTGCCCCCTCCATGGCCTCCAGCGACGTGGCGAGCGGCACGTTGGCGCGGCCGTCCGTGAGCAGCACGGCCACCACCTGCCCCACATCGCCGCGCTTCTTGGCCACCTCCGCTGCCCGCACTGCCGTCACCAGCGCGTGCGCCAGGGGCGAGCCTCCGCCACACGGCAGACACTCGAGACTGCAAGGGGAGGTTGCAAGAGGGAAGGCAGGAATGGAAAGGTGAGCTCTCACTGCTGTTACCAGCGATGTGCCAGGGGCGAAATTCCCCCCAGCAGACACTCCCAGGTAGAGGGGGTAGAGGGGTGGCGGAGGGCATTAGTGGATGGGGGCTGAGTTGGTGTGTTGAACCTTCCCCTGCACAGCAGCTGCTCCAGAATGACTGGGGCGACGAGAAGGGGGGAGGAATGATTGGAGTGAGCAGCAAGGACGGGTAAGAGCAGGTGGGCAAGGAGGGATAGGGGCGAGGTGTGAGTGACGAGGAGAGGCAACAAGATAGAGCGAGCACCTCCTGGCTGAAGCTCAAAGCCGCCGACTTCAGGAAATCACTGCTGGTGCCGAAGCACGAAGAGGCACAGACACGGCACAGGAGGGCGGCACAAGAAGTCACAGACACGGCACAGGAGGGCGGCACAAGAAGTCACAGACACGGCACAGGAGGGCGGCACAAGAAGTCACAGACACGGCACAGGAGGGCGGCACAAGAAGTCACAGACACGGCACAGGAGGGCGGCACAAGAAGTCACAGACACGGCACAGGAGGGCGGCACAAGAAGTCACAGACACGGCACAGGAGGGCGGCACAAGAAGTCACAGACACGGCACAGGAGGGCGGCACAAGAAGTCACAGACACGGCACAGGAGGGCGGCACAAGAAGTCACAGACACGGCACAGGAGGGCGGCACAAGAAGTCACAGACACGGCACAGGAGGGCGGCACAAGAAGTCACAGACACGACACGGCACAGGAGGGCGGCACAAGAAGTCACAGACACGGCACAGGAGGGCGGCACAAGAAGTCACAGACACGGCACAGGAGGGCGGCACAAGAAGTCACAGACACGGCACAGGAGGGCGGCACAAGAAGTCACAGACACGGCACAGGAGGGCGGCACAAGAAGTCACAGACACGGCACAGGAGGGCGGCACAAGAAGTCACAGACACGGCACAGGAGGGCGGCACAAGAAGTCACAGACACGGCACAGGAGGGCGGCACAAGAAGTCACAGACACGGCACAGGAGGGCGGCACAAGAAGTCACAGACACGGCACAGGAGGGCGGCACAAGAAGTCACAGACACGGCACAGGAGGGCGGCACAAGAAGTCACAGACACGGCACAGGAGGGCGGCACAAGAAGTCACAGACACGGCACAGGAGGGCGGCACAAGAAGTCACAGACACGGCACAGGAGGGCGGCACAAGAAGTCACAGACACGGCACAGGAGGGCGGCACAAGAAGTCACAGACACGGCACAGGAGGGCAGCCTCTGATAATTGCTGCTGCGCTTCCCAACAGCCTCATCGCACTTTGCAGGGGGGGGGTACTAGCAGGTCGGCATGGAGGGCAGGGAGGGCAGGGAGGGCACTACTGCCACGATGGAGTCATGGAAGGGGATGGAGTCATGGAAGGGGATGGAGTCATGGAAGGGATGGGTCAGATGGATCATGGAAGGGCATGGAGTCATGGAAGGGGATGGAGTCATGGAAAGGGGATGGAGTCATGGAAGGGGATGGAGTCATGGAAGGGCATGGAGTCCATGGAAGGGGATGGAGTCATGGAAGGGGATGGAGTCATGGAAGGGGATGGAGTCATGGAAAGGGCATGGAGTCATGGAAAGGGGATGGAGTCATGGAAGGGGATGGAGTCATGGAAGGGGATGGAGTCATGGAAGGGCAGCATGGAGTTCATGGAAGGGGATGGAGTCATGGAAGGGGGGATGGAGTCATGGAAGGGCATGGAGTCATGGAAGGGAAGCATGGAAGTCATGGGAAAGGGGATGGAGTCATGGGAAGGGGAATGGAGTCATGGAAGGGGATGGAGTCATGGAAGGGCATGGAGTCTAATGGGTCTGGAAGGGCATGGAGTCATGGAAGGGGATGGAGTCATGGAAGGGGATGGAGTCATGGAAGGGGATGGAGTCATGGAAGGGCATGGAATCATGGAAGGGCATGGAGTCATGGAAGGGGATGGAGTCATGGAAGGGGATGGAGTCATGGAAGGGGATGGAGTCATGGAAGGGGGATGGAGTCATGGAAGGGGGATGGAGTCATGGAAGGGGATGGAGTCATGGAAGGGGATGGAGTCATGGAAGGGGATGGAGTCATGGAAGTGGAGCATGGAGGCATGTCATGGAAGGGGATGGAGTCATGGAAGGGGATGGAGTCATGGAAGGGCATGGAGTCATGGAAGGGGATGGAGTCCATGGAAGGGGATGGAGTCATGGAAGGGCATGGAGTCATGGAAGGGGATGGGAGTCATGGAAGGGGATGGAGTCATGGAAGGGCATGGAGTCATGGAAGGGGATGGAGGTCCATGGAAGGGGAATGGGAAGTCATGGAAGGGGATGGAGTCATGGAAAGGGCATGGAGTCATGGAAGGGGGATGGAGTCATGGAAGGGATGGAGTCATGGAAGGGGCATGGAGTCATGGAAGGGATGGAGTCATGGAAGGGATGGAGTCATGGAAGGGATGGAGTCATGGAAGGGGATGGAGTCATGGAAGGGCATGGAGTCATGGAAGGGGATGGAGTCATGGAAGGGGATGGAGTCATGGAAGGGCATGGAGTCATGGAAGGGGATGGAGTCATGGAAGGGGATGGAGTCATGGAAGGGGATGGAGTCATGGAAGGGCATGGAGTCATGGAAGGGATGGAGTCATGGAAGGGGATGGAGTCATGGAAGGGGATGGAGTCATGGGAAGGGCATGGAGTCAAGGAAGGGGATGGGAGTCCATGGAAGGGGATGGAGTCATGGAAGGGCATGGAGTCATGGAAGGGATGGAGTCATGGAAGGGGATGGAGTCATGGAAGGGATGGAGTCATGGAAGGGGATGGAGTCATGGAAGGGGCATGGAGTCATGGAAGGGGATGGAGTCATGGAAGGGGATGGAGTCATGGAAGGGGATGGAGTCATGGAAGGGCATGGAGTCATGGAAAGGGGATGGAGTCATGGAAGGGGATGGAGTCATGGAAGGGGATGGAGTCATGGAAGGGGCATGGAGTCATGGAAGGGGATGGAGTCATGGAAGGGGATGGAGTCATGGAAGGGCATGGAGTCATGGAAGGGGAATGGAGTCATGGAAGGGGGATGGAGTCATGGAAGGGCAATGGAGTCATGGAAGGGATGGAGTCATGGAAGGGAGGTCGGGGGATGGAGTCGGGAAGGGGATGGAGTCATGGAAGGGGATGGAGTCATGGAAGGGATGGAGTCATGGAAGGGGATGGAGTCAATGGAAGGGCATGGAGTCAATGGGAAGGGGATGGAGTCATGGAAGGGGATGGAGTCATGGAAGGGGATGGAGTCATGGAAGGGCATGGAGTCATGGAAGGGGATGGAGTCATGGAAGGGGATGGAGTCATGGAAGGGATGGAGTCATGGAAGGGATGGAGTCATGGAAGGGCATGGAGTCATGGAAGGGGATGGAGTCATGGAAGGGGATGGAGTCATGGAAGGGGATGGAGTCATGGAAGGGATGGAGTCATGGAAGGGCATGGAGTCATGGAAGGGGATGGAGTCATGGAAGGGGATGGAGTCATGGAAGGGGATGGAGTCATGGAAGGGGATGGAGTCATGGAAGGGGATGGAGTCATGGAAGGGCATGGAGTCATGGAAGGGGATGGAGTCATGGAAGGGGATGGAGTCATGGAAGGGATGGAGTCAGGAAGGGATGGAGTCATGGAAGGGGATGGAGTCATGGAAGGGGATGGAGTCATGGAAGGGGATGGAGTCATGGAAGGGGATGGAGTCATGGAAGGGCATGGAGTCATGGAAGGGGATGGAGTCATGGAAGGGGATGGAGTCATGGAAGGGATGGAGTCATGGAAGGGGATGGAGTCATGGAAGGGGATGGAGTCATGGAAGGGGATGGAGTCATGGAAGGGCATGGAGTCATGGAAGGGGATGGAGTCATGGAAGGGGATGGAGTCATGGAAGGGGATGGAGTCATGGAAGGGGATGGAGTCATGGAAGGGGATGGAGTCATGGAAGGGGATGGAGTCATGGAAGGGCATGGAGTCATGGAAGGGATGGAGTCATGGAAGGGGATGGAGTCATGGAAGGGGATGGAGTCATGGAAGGGCATGGAGTCATGGAAGGGGATGGAGTCATGGAAGGGCATGGAGTCATGGAAGGGGATGGAGTCATGGAAGGGGATGGAGTCATGGAAGGATGGAGTCATGGAAGGGGATGGAGTCATGGAAGGGGATGGAGTCATGGAAGGGCATGGAGTCATGGAAGGGATGGAGTCATGGAAGGGGATGGAGTCATGGAAGGGATGGAGTCATGGAAGGGGATGGAGTCATGGAAGGGGATGGAGTCATGGAAGGGCATGGAGTCATGGAAGGGATGGAGTCATGGAAGGGGATGGAGTCATGGAAGGGCATGGAGTCATGGAAGGGGATGGAGTCATGGAAGGGCATGGAGTCATGGAAGGGGATGGAGTCATGGAAGGGGATGGAGTCATGGAAGGGGATGGAGTCATGGAAGGGATGGAGTCATGGAAGGGCATGGAGTCATGGAAGGGGATGGAGTCATGGAAGGGGATGGAGTCATGGAAGGGGATGGAGTCATGGAAGGGATGGAGTCATGGAAGGGCATGGAGTCATGGAAGGGATGGAGTCATGGAAGGGGATGGAGTCATGGAAGGGATGGAGTCATGGAAGGGCATGGAGTCATGGAAGGGGATGGAGTCATGGAAGGGGATGGAGTCATGGAAGGGGATGGAGTCATGGAAGGGCATGGAGTCATGGAAGGGGATGGAGTCATGGAAGGGCATGGAGTCATGGAAGGGGATGGAGTCATGGAAGGGGATGGAGTCATGGAAGGGGATGGAGTCATGGAAGGGCATGGAGTCATGGAAGGGATGGAGTCATGGAAGGGATGGAGTCATGGAAGGGGATGGAGTCATGGAAGGGCATGGAGTCATGGAAGGGCATGGAGTCATGGAAGGGCATGGAGTCAT